AAAAAATTGTAATAGAATTGACGAGTTTAAACGTAAATATAAAGGTATGTGTCAATCAAGATATATGCAAGAACAGGCTCAATGATTAACTACATGGACTATTGTGGGTGTGGTGTATATTTTGTAACTATTCTTTAGTATATCACTTGTGTGATGTAAGAATGTTAACACTGTTATATTCTTTTTTTAGTATAATATGTGTGTGTGTAGAAGTGAATCATTTATTGCTTGCAAACCAATGATGGTAAGATGATGTCATGGGGTAGGCCTGGATAAGTCTGACTTCTTCCTACTCCATTCAAGCATGGAATGTGCTAGGTATAAGCAAATTGATATTGGCTTGAGTGTAAAAATGTGTGTTGTTATATCAACTGTTTAATATGCTTGAAAGAATAAATCAAATCAAATCAAAATCAAATCAAATCAAATCAAATCAAACTGAGAAAAAGGTTAACCACACTCTCATTATACTGTAGGCATTTGGCCAGCAGATGGTGAATTATATAGCTGTGCAGAAATTTTTTTTTATTCTTTCAGTCTCATCTTGTTTAATTGTTCACTCATTGCCTTACATAAGAACATTGTACATACTGTTTGTTGATGTTAATACTGCTATTTTGTTATATTACACAGCCTTATGCTGGCTTACTGTTTGCACATTGCGAGCCAATGTACCTGAGTCAAATTCCTCGTGTGTCCGTCACACCTGGCCAATAAAGCTGAATCTGACTCTGATTTCCAAAAAGTGGTTGAATGAGTGAAACATCCAGGGAAATGCCAATGGTTATTTTCACCACTGTCTATGTCCTTCTCTCCGTACACATAGTAGTTTATAAAAATGTAGACTGTCAGCATCACCTGGTGGAGCAGGCTTAACATTGCAGGAGTTTCTCTAGAGCTAAGGCTGAAAACTAAAAGCAAAAATACTTGCAAAGAAGTGGGAGCACTTTGATGGCTATGCAGCACAGATTTTCCTCCCTAATGGAAAATAGACAAGACTTAATTTATTCCATGCATGGGATAAAACCTGCAGTGCTCCTGCCTATTTGCAAGTATTTTGTTTGTTTGCAGTGAACACTTCAGGAGTTATGGTAAAACTGGCAACGACTCTCTCAGTTTAGAACTATGCAGCCCTGCAGACCAGCACCAAAGTGCAGCTCACTTTCTGAACTGGCAAAGTCCATTTTGGAGGATATGAATCTGCTCAAGGATCACAAAATGGGCCTTGTTTTAATTGGTTTAACAGGTAGAGGCATTTCTTTCACAACTGCAGTTCAGCTTTGGACTTAATGCATTCTAAAATTTGCAAGTATAATTAAACTCAGAGTGTTAGAGGTAAATGATAAAAACAGAACTCTTGAGATTGTGCTTCATTGTGGATTTGAAGCCTTTCCTAGGCTGCTTCACATGAGGCTATGAGGACAGCATTACTGCACTGAATTGGAGTGGAAACAATCACTATTTCTCTGACAGTGAAAGCGCTCTCTCAGTAGTCTTTTCATCATTTGTGCACTATGGCTGTCAATACCTGTGAGCGGTAAGTAACTTGTTATTCATCACAGACCAATTATGGTCAGTCATTTCTTTGCTTTTAATACTTTGAGGCTGAGTTATCAGGCTATTAAGTGCAATGCCTCAAATTACTAAATAGTGACTAAACTAACTGCCAGTTAGAAGTCAAGATATCTTAACCTACTTCAATTTTTTTTTTATCTGTCCCTGGAATATTTGTACCTGTTAAAGTAAAATGGTCAAAATTGTTGGGCTTTATGACTGGAGTAAAAGAGTAACAAATTTCATGAAAGGACAATTAGATTTCCATTTGTGCTCATTATATTTTTATGACATTTATGCATGCAAATGTACAATTAGTTTCACGTCAGCCAGTCAAAAAAGTTAACCTTGATCATTAGTTATGGATCAGAGGATCTCCTGCAGCCATAATGTACAGTAAAGCCAGTGCTCAACAGCTACTATGACTCTTGCTTTACTTTTACATCACTTCTGAATGGCACAATGATAGATTATACCAGTGAAATAGTTGTAATCCATGTGCTGCTATCTAATTCCTTTTAGTTAACTGAATCTGTGTATCTGCCATACATGTAGCTACTATCTGCATGTATTTACTGTAGGGTGCACACAAATAGTATATGCACATTAATCAGTATCTCTCTGCTGGATGAGCCCCACCTGTCCCATGTGTAAATGTTGGCGCCCCTACATACAATACTATCATTTCCTTAAGGGAGCTGGCCATTTATCCTCAAGCCTGCAGTGCAGTTGTCTTCACTTTATTTAGGCAGCCTGAATGCATTAGGTACATTTGATCACATTCACAACAAAAACCTTTTGTAAAATGTGCAAAGTAGGCCACAACCCAGACTCTTACTGGGGAGAGGTATGCTGGACATGAAGCCAGTCCATATTGGAGCTGTGGAATGGGATTTGTGGGACTTTAAAGTGGATCAGTGTTTTGTTTTGTTTTCGTCTGTGCGCCCTGCCTATTATTAGCTACGGAGGCCTTTAGCTCCATGATGGGCAGAGCTGCAGCTCTGCAGCGCATTGACAAGCTTGACATCAGTGCACGTACTTGTGGCATTACAGTCGGGCTTATCGCGCCGATCCAGAGGACGTGGACTGATACATCTGCGGTGGGCTGCCTATTTCCAAGCCTCGTTCACCTTGCCTCGAAGATGAAGTTACATACGAGCTGCCGTCTGGTGCAAGCTGCATCCGATGGAGCCCTGCTTTTTATCTCGTTCATCGACCAGCCCACTGCAGCACTTCCTTATGTTGTGGTAAGGGGGGCATGACACATTTCCTGCAACTGGCTTGATTGTCGCTGGTTTCCTGATGAACACTGAGCCAGATAAACAGGCTCAAGAGTCACTGACGGGGTGTTACATAATGTGTAATGCAGCAAAGCCTCATGACTAGTGTTTCGGTGGAGGAGGGACTGTTCGGTCCTTCTGGTAGGAGACGCACAATTTTATCATCTTTGTTATGGGTGATATTTGAGGTTGCACGCTTATTTAATTGCCGTGTATTGGAGAGAATAGACTGAAGATGCCGTGTGGAGTTGTAGGGAATATCTGACCATATCAACAATGATGAATTAGTTCGGGAATTGCGCAGTGTAGACTAACAGGAGGGCATATGAGCAGTGTTAGAGGCGTTGCATCTCTGTAGTGTTATACAGGCGCAGTTCTTAATAGAAGCAGTACCTGGCCTATAAATGTGCCGTCAGTGAAAGGCTGGTTTTATAAATGGCTGCAACGTTAGTTTAAGAAAAAAAAAATCCAGCAGCATAGGAACTGTAATCTTCAGAGATCTGCATGCATCAAAATAGAAAATGTCTTGCTATACTGTTAATGATAAAACATTGTTCCTGATTTCCAACAGAAATGGGCATTTAACTGTAGTGTGATGCTTTAGGGATCTTCAAGGGGTGCAGTTGTTTTTCCACAGTGGGTCCTCGGGGTCCAGGCAGGTACTGGAACACTGGGGTTAGCTGAGTTTGATGTCCAGTGAGCTATGGTGGCACAAATTAAAACTAAAATAAGGTTAGAAGACAGCACTAGTATGCTATGGATGTCAAATCAAATGGCAGTGGTCACACAGACACTTTTATGTGCTGTTGTTTTTGTAAAATAAAATAACACATTCTTATCAGTTTAATGCATATAAAAACTATCTGACATGGGCTGTGACACAGAAACACAGGCTACAGTTCCCTTGGAAACCAGTCCGGGTGCCTAAATCATCAGCCTCCATTTTCAAGAAATAGTCTATTTACCTATTCCCTCCATTTCATTTAATGAAAGTATATTTATCCATATTAGTTAGATACTTCCTATGCTACCAGTTGGGGCTGGCATGATTAGAACTGTGCTGAAGGTAACATCATCTGGATTGTAATATAGAAACTGCAAACAGGTATTTTAGGCTGACAGATGGTTAGGATTACAGAAATATCAAGAAAGGCCTTTATTAACTTAATAGACAAACTAAACAGTTTAATTTGAAATAGTATATTTGTTTTGAAACTGGATGTGCCTTTCTTGTAAAATTTAACAAAAAATCGTATATTTTGCAGTACTAGGTGTGTTCGTCTTTAAATTGTCCTATTTTTGTTTGCTTGACCCTTTAAATTGTTTCTATATCAGGAACAAAGACAGGGAACTTGTGAATGGGCACAGAGAAGTCACAAGACTATCCATTGATAGCTCTGCAGGCAAAACAAGCAGTGCAGATAAGGAGCAGTCACAGCCTCTTATAGATGTATTGATCCATGTGCCTTTGCTGTTCAGGATGATAGTGTCAGATTTCCAGTGCTGATGCAGCTTTCTGTGCTTCTAATTTCGACAGGTCCCAGTTGACAGTTTCTGATATGGACTATGAGAGGCCAAACGTTGAAACTATCAAGTGTGTGGTGGTGGGAGACAATGCAGTTGGAAAGACCCGCCTTATCTGTGCCAGGGCTTGCAATGCAACGCTGACTCAGTACCAGTTACTTGCTACACATGTGCCCACAGTCTGGGCAATTGACCAGTACAGAGTATGCCAGGAGGTTTGTAAGCAAGCTCATAACTGTGCAAAGTTAACCTGCATGTTTTTTTTTTTAAATAAATATGGAAAATGTATTTTAGAATTTAAATCTCTGGTCACTTGACTGAGTTAAATCTATGCATGAGTAAAGCACTTGTGCACTGCAGTCATTCACATCTGCAGTGATTTACAGAAACTGGTGGTTATATATTGACCAGTGTGTTACTGTATCCCCTACTAGGTATTAGAGCGCTCCAGAGACGTAGTGGATGATGTCAGTGTGTCCCTGCGGCTCTGGGATACTTTTGGGGACCATCATAAGGACCGTCGTTTTGCATATGGCAGGTGAGATACTGTAAATTCAATGTTAACCTATTAGCACTTGCTCTGGTGCTATTGTATCAGAAGTTAATTTGTACTATGTTTTCCCTTCAGATCTGATGTGGTGGTACTGTGCTTCTCAATTGCTAATCCCAACTCTTTATACCACGTGAAGACCATGTGGTACCCTGAGATCAAACACTTCTGCCCCCGTGCTCCCGTCATCTTGGTGGGCTGTCAGCTGGACCTGCGCTACGCTGACCTGGAGGCAGTGAACAGGGCACGGCGGCCTTTAGCTAGGTAGTGGGACTTAGGTTGTAACAAAATAATGAAACATTTTTAGAGAGTGTTTGAAATTTGTATTGATTTACTTTTTTTCTAGTGCCTGAATTGTCTTTGATATATTTTCTTCTCTTTCAGACCTATTAAATCCAATGAGATTCTTCCTCCAGAGAGAGGCCGGGAGGTGGCCAAAGAACTGGGAGTGCCATATTATGAAACCAGCGTTGTTGCTCAATTTGGAGTCAAGGACGTCTTTGATAATGCTATCCGAGCTGCGCTCATTTCACGCCGCCACCTGCAATTTTGGAAATCTCACCTCAGAAATGTTCAGCGACCTCTCCTTCAGGCGCCCTTCCTGCCACCGAAACCTCCCCCACCTATAATTACTGTGCCTCCTCCCCCAACTACCACAGAGGAACATCCAGTTGGTCTTCTGGAGGACCCGCACTGTGCTGATGTCATCCTGGTCCTGCAGGAGCGGCAGAAAATCTTTGCACACAAGATTTACTTGGCCACATCCTCCTCAAAGTTCTATGACCTCTTTATTATGGACACACAAAATGAGGAGTCTGAAAGGCCCCCTCGTGGCGGTGCTCTCTCTGGCCGAGAGCTGCTGATGCGTGCTGCTAGTTTTGATGTTTGTGAGAGCAGTGATGATGGAGACAGGGCCAACCTGAGGGCCTGCACCAGTGATGGGACCTTGAAAGATTTTGAGGGGGCCCGACGGGGCAGACTGCTTTCCTCATGGAGCCGAGCTTTTGTCAGCATCCAAGAAGAGCTGGTAGATGACCCTATAACATACAGCCCCAGGCCCATGACTGTAGTGTACATGGACCAGTCCATGCAGCTTGGACCTTTCCGAGCGGTACTTCGCTACCTGTACACAGGTCAGCTAGACGAGAATGAGAAAGACCTAATGCACATTGCACACATTGCTGAGCTGCTGGAGGTTTTTGACCTGCGGATGATGGTGGCAAACATACTTAACAATGAAGCCTTCATGAACCAAGAAATCACCAAAGCCTTTCACGTACGGCGCACAAACAGATTCAAAGAGTGTCTGGCCAAAGGCACCTTCTCTGGTGAGTGGAAATCTTTCATCTATGTTCATGTATCCTGGATTCAGGTGTAAGAAAGTTGCTGTCAGTGACTCACCTCTGTATTACAGATGTAATATTCAAGCTAGATGATGGGATGATCAGGGCGCACAAGCCTTTGCTCATCTCTAGTTGTGACTGGATGGCGGCGATGTTTGGCGGGCCTTTTGTGGAAAGCTGTACCAAAGAGGTAAGTCAGCCTATAGTGGCTAACTGTGTAGCTAACACCCTCAAAACTGTAGAGAGATATGCTCAACTGCAAATGATGTCCTAATAATCGAAGGAAGCAAACCAGCATAATTATAGTATATTGTGGAATAAATATAAATAATATGTCACTGGTTTGTTAAGATGTGAAATATGACCGATAGAGCTCAAGTACAAACCAAAGTCAGTACTGTGAGAGGCCCCGGGTTCATATCCCAGACAAGCCCCCATTTATTCCACTTTGTTCATAATTCCCAGTGGAAGTCTTATTGCCAGTCTATTTGTATAAGGCATTGTATTCAATACTGAATTGCTTTAATTACAGGTGCAGCAAGATCATCTATGTACTGACCCAAGTAGAGCCCAGATAAACTGTGTAGTCTGTGTACAAAGTATAATTTAATTAAAGGATTGGAAATCTGTTGTGATACAAGTACGCTGACCTGTGTGGTCCAAGTATACATTAGTTCTGTGACTTTAATCTGTTTTCTACCTTAATAGAAACTACTATTATTACTTAAAATATAATATTGTAAAAAAAAAACCACTTAGAGTATGCAGGTAGGCTGCGATTTAGATCATATGGTTTTATAATTTTTTTTATGTACTGAAGAATTTTCAATTTTGAGACACTTTTTGAAAAACTGATATAACATCATAACATAAGTGAAAGGTAGGCCTTCTCATATTTTGATTAAAGTAAATTAAACATAGCACAAGCCTTAGGCCGTTAAGTCATGACTGTGCCACATGTTCCTGTTTCTAAGGTACTGTTTCCCAACACAACTCGCAGCTGTATGAGGGCTGTGCTCGAATATCTCTACACCGGGCGGTTTTGTTCTCGGCCTGACCTTGATGCAATGGAGCTTATTGTTCTTGCCAATCGTCTTTGTCTCCCCCACCTGGTTGCACTTACAGGTATTACATCTGGTGTAGTTATTACCTAGCAAACCACAGGACTGTATTACACAAAGCCACTGTGACTACCTAATATGTTTCTTTCAGAGCTCTACACAGTAACAGTATTGATGGAGGCAGCGATGATGGGGGCTGACATTGATGGAGATGTGCTTGTGTACTTGGATATGGCCCAGGTATTATGACTTGTCAGTCATCTTGTTAATGGGGGCCATCTTAGTGGGAACTGCTCTGGAGTTACGTTTAAATCTGAAAAAAAATATTTTTTTTCCATTCTTGCTTTAGTGACCGTGGTGTTTTAGTCATGTAGGTTTAGCTCAAATGTACTCAACTCAAAACCTTACAGCAGCAATGTACAAATACAAAACTGAAAATTAATGATTTTGTATATTGATAGTTCCACGGGGCCCAGCAGCTCAGTGGCTGGTGTCTTCACCACATCTGCACCAACTACAACAGTGTCTGCCGCAAGTTTCCCCGAGACATGAAGGCCAAGTCCACAGGTAACACAGCTACCAGTCTGTGGTGTTGCACAATAGACCTTCACGGTATCTTCTTAATTCTTATTTGTCATGATGTAGGCTTTTATGTTTGCTGTGATATTGTACATGATAGGAATTAAGGCTATGTATCTGTGTTACTACGATGAAGTAAAAAATGGTGTGAAAAATATGCAAATGTCACTTAAATTAGTTTCATCCATCTGATATGTGCGGCAGTTTGTTGTGACCATGTTGAAATGCAAAAATTGTTGTGGGGAAATACATTATTGAAAACTTTACAAAGCCTTTTCAGATTCCTAAAACATTTTATTCTGATGCAGAGAATCAAGAATACTTTGAGAAACATCGCTGGCCACCTGTGTGGTACCTGAAAGAGGATGACCACTACCAAAGAGCACGTAAAGAGCGTGACAAGGAGGACTACCTGTACCAGAGACGGCAATGCAAACGCAAGTGGCTTTTCTGGAACCTTCCTTCCTCCCACAACTCGAACTCTCCTTCTTCTGGCTCATCTGCTGTCATCTGATCAAGTGGTAAGGCCAGGTCCACCGTGGAGAACATCAGTGTGGACGCAAGTTGTAAAACATACAATAGAAGATAAGTCCTGCTGGCTAGCTATGCCCCTGTTATTTGGGCACACAGTTTCTCCTTCTGTTTGTTAGGACTCTGCTGCCACAGAATTTCCAAGATATCCAAGCGCTGCTTATCAGCTGCAACAACCAGCAATTCAATACAAGAGAGTCTCAGAGATATAACACTTTGCCCTTAAGTGTTTGTACAATCTACCAAACTATGTGTACAGTATGATCTTATCAACAGGATGTAACAATAATATAGCCTGCTAAGAATCAAGTCATTCACTCTAACCATGCAGATTATGATTGTGTATGCATACATGGAAAATACTGGCAAGTTTATTTTTGTATAATCATTCTATTTTTGAATGTTTGTGTACGGCTTGCACAGCTAAAAGTGATGTGAGTCGGGACACACTCAGCATTTACATCATGTGATTTGTGGCCTCTTGTCACAAAAGGGCTTTAGTTTACATGAATGCATTCAGTGTCCTGAGACACAGGAGATCCAAAACAAAGGAAAATATCTGTATTTTCTGTAAAATGCCAGCAAAAACGAAACAGATCACTATTGTTTCCTGTCGGTCGCTTGATGAGTGAGCACACGTGTTTCCTGAGTCCATTAGCCTTACACTGAATGGTCCCATCAGTTGGATCACTGTCACCCTGGACAGCAACAGAACCATTATCAGAGCTAAAGTGACCACATGTACATTACCATCACTCTGTGAACGTGTGCTTGACGTATCTGTCACTGGTGGTGATACAGCCTTTAGAGATTGGTTTTAGCTGAGCAGCAGATGCCCCCCACCCGATCATCTGCAGTTGACTATGTAGGAACTGACCACACAGGAGGCGTCCTCATGCCTGGGTGAAGTCATCCATCCCCTTGTACACACCCCCAGCACTCCCTGGACTCCTCTCCACAGAGACACACACTGAAACCTCCAGTAGCAGCATCCCGGTGTGTGACACTGAAGACAGTGTGGTGTTGTGACACAATGCAGCAAACTAAGAAAAAACAGAACTGGGGGAGAAATGTTTTTAAATATTGTGAAGAGGTTTAACTCAAATGATGTTTTTATTTGTTTTGCACACTTCACAGTATCTGTTCAAGATTGCCATCTGCTGTTGTGTTTGATTGTAGGATGGACTGCAGCATTGTTTGGATTTGTAAGCGTGGTCCTCAGTGAAGACGGGCTGGATTGTAAATTGTACAAAATTAACTGCGAGTAACTTGCATCACTCCACTTTGCGGTTACTTATTGTGTGCTGCAGGCAGTGAGTAGAATTGTACAGTATTACTGAGTAATACATACACAGAATATCGAGCTGACTTATCAGACTTGCATTTAGTTACTGTGCAGCTATAAACTGTTGTTGAACCGAATACTCATTGTGCTGACCTCCAGCTAACTCTGTCATATACTGTAGTGTACATACATGCAAATTAAAGACAGTTCAAATGAACAGTTGACTGATAGTAGAGTAGAATTACAGTGCAAAATAGACACATTTATATAAATGGCATTATAAAGATTCATCATCCATAAAACACCATTGTTATTAAAAGAGTAAATTATGAGTGCTGCATTTGCTTTTGCAGCATACTGTGTGTTTAGGAAAGGGTTGCTTTAGTCCTGCATATTATTGGTTATACAAATTCCATACAGTAGTTTACTAGATAGAGCCCAACAAAGATCTTAAAATGGTTAAGTGAGATGAATCAATTCAGTGGCAAAACTAATTTCTTGTTTGTATTAACTTCTGACCCAATATCTACACTGCATGAAGAGGGCTTGCCAAGATAGATGAAGTTTATTCATCATAATTGAAAGTATAATATATAGATACAAAATGTAGTGCTGGTGCTCTAAGCAGTAGCTTCAAATTGTTCTTAATTATTACATTAACTGTCTATTGCTAATTAAACCTAGGAGCTGTCATTTTGAATATCGTAACTGTTCAAATCTTTTGGCGTGCATGGTCAGACATTAGGCAGAGGGATGTGCCTCCAGCACCTTTTAGAGCCAGCTTCATTCTTCTTTCTCCTTCTTCTTTCTTTCTTTCTAATTCCAAATACTTTAATTTAATAACCCTTTGAATAATAATGTGCAGTTTTCACACACACAATACAGTTTATCATCAGTTTACCAGCAGTTGGGTCTGTATTGTTATAATTTGCCTTGGTGGTGTGACCGGTAGAGTTCATAGACGTGCATTTCATTCCTCAGTGCATTGCATTTTACAAGGCATCTTCAGCTGATGTTTGCATTAACAACACCTCATGCCTTAATATACAGCGTAGTGTCTGGTAACAAAGGTAAAGTCTTGTTATTGTGGTTACTAGTTTGTTTGTTCTATGTTAAGTTACCATGGTGCTCCCTAGACTGTGTGTATTTGTACATAATGTGCATAACCCATATGGATGTAAAACAACCAGTCTGTGTGTGACTTGAACAGTCCAATGAGTGTGTTTCAGTCTGAGCCCTGCATAGGGCCTATGGTCCGAAACACAAAACACAGAGACTCTGACCATCAAGGCCACACCAGACTAACACAATGACAGATCATCAATTTGTGACATTAACCATTAAATGAATGCAGGGATTTCCAATTAGTTTCGTCGTTTTAAATCTGCTTTATGCTAACGAGATCTAATTCTGGAGTCTGCATAATTAAAAAAAAAATGCTGAGATACAGTAGTGTTATCATTGGAACTTAGGTTGTAACTCAAACATGTAAATAATAAAGTGTGTGATGACTTGCAATTCAAACGTGGCATAGCAATTGATACAAGGTACTGCATAGATTAATGTAGATACTGTTTTTGTACTATGCATACTGAAATGTTTGACTTTGAAGCTACAAACTTGCACTGCTTTGTAGCACCAGGTTTTAATCAAATTGCATCAAAGACTATTGCAACATTGTTAGATAAGTAGACAACATCAGGTAAAAAAAAAAAAAAGATAAGATAACAAATTACAAAGAAGTTGTCACTGGGCCCTTTTCCATATGTTTGGGTGCTAAGATCACTGCTGCAGAGAAGCACAAACCAAAGGGAGCTTTAGCAGCACCAGGAATATATTAAATACTGTATATGCTGCACAATCACTACTGCATAATTAAAGAGGCCTTGTTCAGAAACGGTTGAACATGTAAAACTAAATAAACAAAAAATAAAATAAATGAAAAGAAAAAAACTTGAATGTTTTCTCAGTGTGCAAAGCCTAGATGACATTTTATTTAGTCATCAGGTATTTTTGTTTTCAAAAACTGTTTTAGGAGCTGTGACCTGAAATTCTGTAGCATGTGTTCTTGAAAATGTATAAATGATATTTACTAAATAAAAAGAAGTGTTACGTCTGGATATCATGCCAGTCTTTTTCCCCCTTTGCAAAGCTCTTTTACAGCACATGGTTTCATATTTCAGTGTCAAACGACGCGCGCGCTGTGTCATGTGTCAGTAGGAACGTGCACTGCACAGAGGCGGCAGCACCAACAGCAGCGCCCGAACCAGGATACGAAAACAGCAAAAAAAACACCAGTGGACAACTGAGAGATGGTAACGTTAATGGCGAATGTAACCACCTGAATACAAGTGTGGGGGGGGAAGACCCCCCCAGTCTGAGTGCCATGCAGTTTTATCTAACGCCTGTTCTGTCTGCGCGGACACTTGGTAAACTGTAGCCTGATGCGTTGCGTAAATATAAACAAGTAAAGGTTAAGCTTGTGGTAGTCAAGATAACTTTAGAATGCATTAAGTAACTCCTAAAATGTTGCGGGTCAAACGAGGGTCACGTCATTTTAATACAGCGTGAAGTTTGATTAGAAAACACTTTAACAAATGTGCGTCTGTCTCACTTGCAGCGCAATGTAACTTTAAATATAGTAACATTTCCTGCTGTGTACCGCGTTTCTTCTTTGGTTGGAGAGCTAAGTGACACGAAGTCGAGTTTAAAGTGAAACAATTGCATAATAAAAAAACTGTGACACTGACTCTAACCAGACGTACAACTTAAGAGCATTTAATGACGTCAACTAGGAACATACTCGTCTGTTATGTAGTTTAACAGGTATAGGTGGACCAGGTGTCCAGATAAGCTCTGATTGGCAGCAGGTGAAAGAGAGTATAGCAGAGCAAGGGCAGAGATGTAACCACACCAAAAGTACCATAACAATTCAGTTTTGAAACTGAAAAGAAAATAGAAGCAGGGCTGAAATGATAGTCAAATAATCTACAAGTTAGAAATGATGATAATTACTTAATCATTTTAAGTGAGTTTTCAAAAAACGTTTTAAGGTTTCTTTCTTTGTCTTGCATTGTATTCTACTCAACATCATTAGGGTTAGAATTGTTATTTTCTAAAGATGTTGACCTTTGCTCTGGGATCTTGTGTCTGACATTTGAAACTATTTTCTGACATGTGACTGACTAAATATGTGCCAGAGGGTTGATAGTGACATTGAGTCTTAGCTGCAGACCTACAAAGCTGCACGTCAGAAGCATGTTCACCTCTGGCAAACAGATTTATTTATTGTTCAAAAGTTAAACTGCTGGCAAAGAGCTGTCAGTCAGTAGAAATTATGAGGTGAAATACCACCTGTCATTGTGTACAGGCCTCGGCATCTTGTGTCTGACATTTGAAACTATTTGTAGTGTTGTAGTGTAAATGAGCTGTTTGCAATTAGACTACATATTACCTACAGCATTATTTGAATCTAACATATTAGAGCAGAACTGTTGTGTTGAAAATCCTGTAACTGCTTCTTGCACACCGACTGAACACAGCTGTTCTGCAGGCTCTACTGGCGTCATTCCTGATGTTACTTGCCTGCATTTTGGGGCTTTTCCACATGGAAGCAACAGCAGACACCCTGAGCACTCTGGATTCTTCTTTCTGTCAGTAAGTAGATCATATAAAAATGTAAACTCCGCACAGAATGAACATGGCAAAGACTCTAAACTAGCGCTTCTTTTGCTTAATAAATGTTGTACTTTAACACTTTCTGCTTGTTGTTTATCTCTGTGTGGAAGCCTGCTCACTTTGCCCTCTGTATAGAATGTACAAAACTGTGTATAAAGAGTTTCAGCTTTTATCTCTCTTCAATAAAGTGGTGGGCTTGAAGTGATCTATCCAGAGATGGACATCGATGAATGCCTTATAATTCCAAAGAACCTCAGAGAGAAAATCAGCAAAATTTGGATCGCCCCGCAGATTTACTTCTCTAGAGCAGACAAGGTACGGTAAGAGATGTGTGTGTATGTATGTTAAGCTGTTTGTTATTTGGGGATTGTCACTGTCACAGACCTGAAATAACTGACATTCTGATTTGATATCCACTGGTACATCAGTACTAAAGATACATACTGCGGCTTCTAGTTAACTGTAATAGGAAATCCTCAGGTCTTTGTGTCTGCTGTCATTCATCTGCTACATTTAACAGAACTACAAGTATCATACCTCAGATAAAGAGTTCTGATTTACGTATAAAAGTATTTTTGTGAAAATTCTGACATTTTTGCTGTGTGGAATTTTGTCTTTGTCTTTTGTCAGCATTATTTGTTTGCCAAGTGCATGTGCTTCATTTTAACACTAGAGTGCAGTAATGGATAAAAAGCTGCATCTCTACCTGAACTACCAGAGCTGACTGTGGTTTACTGTCTGAAGAAAGAAAATGATTTTATAATACAATAACTGGGGAAATAACAAGCATTAAGCGGCAGTTTAACAACATTTAAAGGTCAATCTGCTCCCCAGCTTTGACCGTGTGCTGTATGTCACCTTCTGTTTTCTGCATCACCTGTTACTGATTCACTATAGGAATAAATGTCACCAGAAGGTGATGCTAGCACCTCGTACTTACAGCTCCCTCTGTGAACAGTCATGTTAAACCAAGGTTATGCTGGATTTACACTAGAGTTTACACTGTTAACATAAATCATAAAGTTTGTGTTAATGTAATTGACATTAGTCCCTGATAACTCAGTTCTGACCTGTACAAAATCTAATAAAGCTGGTGAAGCCACAGACAGTACATCTCCATCCTCAGTTAGGTGTCAGTTGTAGTTATTAGACAGCTGTGCATACTTTAGAGAATTGGTGTATGAACCCATATAGTAACTCTAAGACAAACCAGAATTAGATAAATATAATGTAATCCATATATCAGCATGATTAGGCTGATATATGGATTGAAACTATTGTTTAAAGTTTGAAATTGGTGTTAAAATGTTTTAGATAAATTTGTCAGTGTCAGAATGTTATTTGCTGATGATAACACAAGAACATGGGAGATGCTTGTATAAAGAGCATGATGTTAACAGTGCAGCTCCAAAATACCTTTTATACCACATAAACCGAAAAGAGAAACAAGTGTGGGCTTGAAAGCCATGTAGTATGTTCCTCTTAAAATACTTGCTCTTGTCGGGCCAAGCATTAAAATCATCACAGAGATTTTTTTTTCTGATCTGTGTAGTAGTCATTTATTTATATGTGTTTTTTTGAGTGGATTATCTTTGGTGTAGTTTCACTGTTGAGAAACAGACTGAGAGAGATACAGTTCCCAGTCCACAGAACCCCTGCTGAAGTTGACAGTGGGGTTACATCAATCGTACACCAAATCCTATATCTGTAAATTGAAAACTTAAATTGAAAGCCACCTCGATTTAGGAGCTACTTTATGAATTCCAGAGCTAAGCAGTCCAGCTTGAACATGATGTATTGCCCTTCTCTTCCCCAAACTCCATTTGATCTATGGTTGCATTATCTGTAATGCTGTCTTACATGATTCTCTTTTATTGCCAGAATCTGTGTCAAACCACAAAACAGATTACATGTTAGATTAAATCAATACAAACTTTATTTTGTGGGCTTTTAAAATGCAATTCTCCATTTCTCCTGACACTACTAAAGGCTCAGATTGTTGCCTGTGGTTCTATGGCTGGTCTACTGGTCCACCACGTTTTCTGTCACCGTGCCATGCTGCCACCGCTGCTGCTATTCTCTACCACATAGCCCTTGTACCCAGCAGCAGAAATACAGAATACGAGCAGGCTCGAATCCACCCACTGTAACACCCACTTCATTACTGAGACGGGATGTGTGCCTGCTGGGTAATTGTAATAGAGCGCAATGGGCAGTAGTCCCATAAACCCGCCTCTAAATAGGTGCTCATGACCAAAAACAAAAGCAAAAGGCCACAAAAACTGCAGATTTCTGTGTCCAAACTTCAGAGTAACAAATCAGCACTTGAACTTATGTGTTAGCAAAACCTGGCATGTGTGTTAATGAAGCATTTTTAGAAGTACTAATTACACTCAGAAGCTTCAAATGCGTCTGCAGTTTGATACAAGTGGGATATGTATTGGCTAACGTGACTAAACTGTAACAGCATGATTTGGTTACAGTTGGGCTCATAAATAAAGTTAGTGCTAAGTGGTTATGAATGTTGGACCTGACCATATTCTTTCATAGGGAAACTGTTTAGAAATCAGTGTATTAACTTCAAAGTGCAGAATGCTGAAGGTCAGAATGTAAATTTTAACAGACATGAACTTTTCTTCACTATGTTTTAGAATACATTAACCTATGAACTCAGCAGAGAGCAACAGTATGCAGCTGTCATTTTTGTTTTGGAATACTGTACCATCATTGTACCATATAAACTAAGAAACGCTTCCCCCTGAAGGATAAAGCTAGTGGATTATATACAGTAGGTGCGATTAGAATACTGGTATTCTAAATGTAATACCATTTAAATATGTAGGCAAGCTACAAACATTCACATTTGTTTAAATCAGATCCATCTTTTCTTGACTAGAGTCCTAGTTGTACATAATATCCAAGATTTAACCCCTGATGCGGCCAGGCAATGATTTATTAATATTTGACCTCTGGGTGAGAGACTAAGCCTAGGAAAGAAGTGTTCACTGTTGTACGTGATAATCTTAGAAGTCAGGAACCAAACCTGTAATTGAAAAGAACTTCTTTGAGACTCAAGTTAAATGTGTTTAGGTAGAATCCAGCTTTGTCCTGTAAATCACATTCATAGATTGTGCTGTAGAGGTCAGGAAGTCAGCTCTTTGTTGAATGGAATAGGATAGGTGTTTGCCCTGACAGGGCTCATTGTAAAATAAAATTTGTGGTAACATTCTGCTACCTGTATTAAATGGCCAGCTGACATTGGGGTGGGTTCACCCTGGACAGATCGCCAGTCTATCATAGGACTGACACGTAGAGACAGACAACAATTCACACTCACAACTATGAATAATTTAGAATTGTCAGTGAACCTAAGATGCATATCTGTGGGAGGAAGCCCACACAGGCATGGGGAGAACATGCAAACTCCACACAGAAAGGCCTCAGTCGGCCACCAGGTTTGAACACACATCCTTTTTGCTGTGAGGCGGCAGTGCTAACCACTGCTCCACCCAGTAATTATGTTAATTATTCAATAAATGATTAGGTAACGTAGATTATTTGTGGAGTTTATGCTGAAAATGGCTTATAAATATCAAAAGAATGTTTTAACACCTTAATCTATAATTGTACTCTGGCACTTTAACATTATGTCTACTGTAAATGCCAAAATGCTTTTAGGAGATTTTACCTCACAGAAAGGAAAAGCTGCGCAGGTTCTTGATACTGATAGAGGCCCTTTGGAAAACCAGCAAACATGGCTGAAGGACACAAAACCTTTAAAATACAGATTTGCCACTAGAAAAGAATAGTGAAAATTAAGGAGAATCCAAAAATAACCAAAGAAATCAGAGCTAGGGAGGATTAAAATGCTCTGTATATTTTTGGCTACATGTCAGCTCCAGGTGTGCTTTTGGCACAGCCAAAAAATATCAGCACGAGTTCCCACCTAATTAAATCTCCTTAAAGTTGTATTTAAGTGAGCTTCTTTTTAATCCTGCAAACAGCTTGATTACATGTATTTTAGTATGATCAAAGTTTTGCTTAGAAAACAGTTTCATACAAAAATGCATCTAATGGGACTGTGAGGTGCAGTTTTTATATCAGCACAATAGTTAGCAACATTAGGCAAGGGAAGCTCAATGAAAAGTTATCGTTGTGTGTTATTAAATACCTAATTATTTTTAAGTCGGAGAGTTCTTTCTCCTGCATCCGTGAGAATATTTTTCTGTTTGATTTCTCAGCTAAAACCATTGACATTAACATACTGTACATGTCACGTTTAAATAATTTTGAGTCTGATATACATACGTTCGTCTTTCCTCAGCTGACTTGGTGTAAACAACACAGGCCACAGGAGCTATCTTTACCTCATAGTGTCTCCAAAAGTGGATACAGTTATGGAGTTGTTTTTCTTTTTTTCAGTAAGGACCATAGCCACAGGGCACATTCTTAGACATGGAGGATTTCAAAGCCTTGTTTTTGGGTAGACGTTTCTTGCATCTGGTGGATGGAATGAGGGTTTAAACCATTACTGCGATTAGAGCTGCCTTGAGCTTGCTTACTGCTGCTAATAGCTGTTTCCTCTCTCTTTCCC